CACACGCACGCGCGCACGGCTGGCGCGAGGTGCGAAAGGTTTGAGTATTTCCTAATGAATGATTATCGCGAATCGGTTCGCGAGTGCCCGTCCGTAACCCCCCGGTTATCGGCGCGGAGTTATCGGCTAACAAGTTGTACTCCATAGAAACATAGTAATCCCCATTCCGGTGGTAGAGATAAGAGGCCCCGGTCGAAGTAACGCTATATACCCGTTGCCCTATCTCACCCCTGGCGTAGCGCTGTGCTCGAGACGATCGTGAGCCCGGAACAATTACCGTCAGTTCCTGGGAATCTGGCACTCGTGACGTCATACCGCGGATACAGTCGCTCCGAGAATACAATTTTTGGTTGGAAAATTCGCGGAGTGCGCCTTCGAATCTGACCACTTAGAGAGTGCCAGGTTCCTTGCAACGACGGTATGTTTGACTGGTCTTCGAACGATGGAACAATGGGATTTAGTTGAAGAAGCCTTGGGAGATTAGAGGTTGCATAACAAAGTAGGAAGATGTGCAAGACAGAACTATCGCACCAGTCGAAATCGTTAACACTAGAACTACCGAGCATTTAATACGACTAATATGTGATCCATATAAAAATTATAGCAATAGATTATTGCCTGTTCTTTTAGGCATTCATTACACTATTCAAATGAAACTATTTATCTTCAAGATCATTTGAATTATTGAATGCTTTTAACGGTAGTTCTAGTGTTAAAAGCGTTCGGTATCCGAAACGAAAACCAGTTCCACTCGAGTACTACCATAAACACCTCTAGAATTCGAAGACAACATCGCTACAATGTTTATAAGGATAACACGTTAATCACGCTAAACCCTGGGTAGTTCCAGCGTTAATTTCCAATTGAAATTCATCTATTTCCACCGCGTCACGCGCTATCATTCAACCGCGAATAGAAAATTCAGGATGTTCCACTGCGCGTCAGCAAATCACTCGCGAGCAATTCCAGGTAGACCGCGATTATTCAATTACGGGAACAGTAACACCGCGCGTCCGCGACTAGATAGGTCCGCGACGGAGGAGAATCGAGTCTTTGACGGACCGTTGGGCCCACAATGCCCTTGTCTAGAGGGTGGACGCGCGGAAAGGACGCTTTTCACTGGTCGCGCGTGAACGGTGGCATCGGGGCTCCAACCTGTCCTCCTAATGAGCGAACGGCCATTATGCGCCGTCGCGGACGCGTCAAACCAAATGTTTGAGCACCGTTTCCTAGTAAAGGCTCAATAGAGCCCGTCCATCGTTCTGTCATCTCCGGCCACTGTGAATGGAACTGGCCCCGCGCGCCGGCTTGCCGCGGCGTTCGCGTTATGCTGCGTTTACGCCGACCGAACGACTGTTCGCTTTATTCAGCTTCGAGGAAATTTTACAAGCTGAACGCTCCTGCTTGCTACCCAATTGCTGCTCGTCTGGGTTTAAAAACGAACGAATGCTGCGTTGTAACGCGTCTGTTAGGTGCAGAAAGAAATTCGGCGGCCTTTCGACGATAACTTAGTGGTTGGCCAAATCGTCTGATTTGAACTTTGAACTTTGATCGTTTGAATTTGATTATGGAACTTCGATCATTCGAATTTGGTTATTTGGACTTTAATTGTTTGAATTTGGTTGTTTGAATTTTCATCATTTGAATTTGATTGTTTGAACTTTGATTATTTGATTTGAACTTTGACTTCAATTATCAACTGTCGGCTTCCTGCGGTGAATAACCGAAGCTCCTCTGATATTCTGTAAGGCTTGCGGGCCGAGTAGAGCGAAAAGCGCGAGGGTAGGGTGCGTTCGCACGTTTTCCTCCGGTTTGCTCCACCTAATCGTCGATATTTGGTTTTGTTATGGCGCGGCGCATATTCCCTGTCTTAAAGGAGGAGTTACCTTCCTTTCTACGAGTGGCTATAAAATCTATGCCTTATCCGCCGCGGGATTGGTGCTCATTGGCGGAACAGTGTAAAAGAACTGTCGTAAAACCGAATGCAAAGATAGATAAGGCTAACGGCCGATCGGCGTGCCGCGCGTGTGTCATCGAAAGTTCAGCTGAATGAAAGGTAACCTGCGTGAAGGAATGATCGTTCGCGTCTGCTTTATACTTAATTAAACCGATCGAAACGCTCGGTTCAATAGTTCCCATACATTGTTTCGTGGTCCTTATAAGGAAAATCGTTAAAGTTAGTTAAAAACGAGAGTTTTTCTGGGGTGAACAGCTGTGCACTTCGCTTAATAAATATAGAGGACACAACAACCATTGTTATCTTTTAATTTATAGATTATTCACAATGCCTCGCGATATGACTGGCCAATGAGCTCCAATTTCTGAAAGAGCGCGATGCGTAAAAGCTTATATAAGGATTTCATTGATAAATCGGATCTGATTTCATTCATTTCGTGGTACTACGGAGTACAAAGATCCTTCAACTAATTCGTTTGTTAAATCACTGTCACGGAATGAGCCGAAATGCATTTCGAAATAGATTTTCCTCTGGTTAATCGAGTTCCCAGCGTCCCTCTCGTTCACCGGCCATTTTACGGGGCCGCGTTTGGATCGTGCCCGCGACTGACACCGTTCTCCACCGTTCTGTGTATCTAACAATATTGCCAATCGATTATCTGTGAGAATCGATGCGTGATTAATTACCGCGGAGGCATTGATATTTAATGAACCCAGCGTGCACGATATATTGAAACGTAACACTATTTCTTGACAGCGATATATTACTAATTGCTCGCGTGTAATGGATTCTCCCTGGCCGAGTGGGTGTTAGATGCAATTGTTCAGATAAAGTTCAATCTTCACATATCCGGAAGAACATTAGAGGATTGAGAGTTCTATTGATTGCCCGCGATGAATGTACACGGTGACTTTGAAGTAACGTATCGCGCGGAGAACACCGTTCGCACGCTTCGCACGAAATTTTCTCGAGAAACGAGCGTTCCGTTACAACCGCCATTTTATTTTTCGCGTAATCTTATCCTTCTAGGAACCGTGTATTTACTTGACTCAGTTTCGTGAACATTGTACTTACGTGCCAATGGAAATCGAGGAAATGTCCGCCGAGACGGAAACACTTGAGAAAATTAATCCCACGTCTCGATCTTCTTATCCGTTAATTGTGGCGTTGAGATAAGAATTCCAATTAACGAGCTATTCAACTTGAAAGAGGATAAATCTGTAATGAATCATAGATACTTAGTCGTAGATACAAAATTGTAAAAAATGAATAATGTGAAATAGTATTTATTATTAATCGAAAAGTTATTATCCTTTTTTTTATTGAAAAGAGGCTTAGAACCTTTTATGGTCTATTGTCCAGTATACATGGTTACAATATCTTATTACTAGCTTACTATTTTTAGTGGTGTTTTGTTTCTCTTAGTTGTCAGCCGTTATTTGGGGAGTTTGGTTTTATTTTGTTTGTTACATCTTGATGTTGGTTTCTTTCCAGAATTTATCTATTATTCTTAAATGTTTGAGATTTGGTTTTTTAAGGATTGAGTCTATTTGTGACGGAAGTTATTATCCTTCCGAATATAAGTAACGCGTGCCATCTAGCGTCCCAGCCGTGCACCCGCTGGATCAACGATGGGATAAGGATACTAAACGAATCCTATCCTGTATCTGTAACACTTAATTAAATCATTCGTAACAATTACATCTATCAATTTATCCGAACAATCATAATATCTCAGAAAATTACATATTATTATATTTCATCGTTACCGTGTCAGTAATATTTTCCTTTCGCAATTGACACGTTAATAATTATTTCTACTTAACTCAACATTAACAACATCCTGTCGTTCCGAATTCAATGAAGCAAGACACTAACGAAGCGAAAAAAAATCGTGTCTCTCCTAAATGAGTCATCTCCCGTTCATTCGACACTGTTATCGCCGACACGCACTCGCGGCAACCATTTTGCGGTCTCGCACCTTTCGCAATTGACGCGTTAATAAATATTTCTACTCGATTCTACATAAATAATGTCCCATCGTTCTTAATTCAATTCGCCGCGACATCGACGGAACAAGAAGACCGTGTTCCCTCGGAATGAGTCGTCTTCCGTTAATTTGATATTATTATCGTTAACACGCACTCGCGCCAACCGTTTTACGGCCTCGCAAGCCGAACACCTTTCGCAATTGACACGTAAATTAACAGTACTACACGGATACGCGTCCCTCCGCTTTCCCACGTGTTTACCTAGAGTCGCGGCGTCGATTTATCGTTAATGCGTCTGTCAACGGACGCGGACCGAGTGGATCATTAATTTAAGAACCGCCGCGGCCGCGGACGATATCAGCGGCGAAACATGTAAAACGAATAGGCTTAAATCATTCCTTCCCACGATTATGCAAGTATATCTGGGCTATTGCCAACCGCACGCGAACTATCGTGCTCGGCATCATTATTTCCCCCCGGTCGAGCATTTTAAACAAGAATTCGAATGCGTTTAACGTCCGATTCCTTTCGAGAATCATCGACATTTTTACGCCTCGGACACGTTTCATCCTGAACAATGAGATGAATCATGCCACGGGAATCTGATAACTATTTAAAAAAGCAATCTGACGACTTCATCCTTTACAGACGAACATCGACATTTCGGCGAGATGAAATGAAGTTGCAAACGAATGATTTAATTACTCGAACAGCAAGAGAGCGTGTAGTTTCTGTTTCTTTCTATTGTTTAAGCAATTGATCTATAAGTTAGCTTTTCTGCTGAGAGTTTTGTATATTTCCAGAAATCTTCGTTCCCAATGGCTCACGAATGATACGTAAATATTATTAGCGGTTTAAGGAATATTTCCTTTTGTCGTAGACAAGTGGTTGGTGGGGCTATCACTTGCCAGACATCAATGAATCGTCTGGCCAGTAGGGTATATTTCCGGTGTTATCACTAGAAACCATGCGCCTCTCTCATGATATTATAATCGTACAAGGAGTATATAAAGACTTCCTTCATGATTCTTGTCAGTATTACTTAATATCAAACTAACAGAGTCGGTGTTAATCACAACCATGTATTCTCTTCTCTCTTTATTAACCTTAGTCGTATTCGGTGAGTGTCGCAAGTCGATTTTTAATTATTTTAGTATAAAATGTACAAAAACTTGTATAAAATAAGTTAGTTAATTAAATATAGAAAAAATATATGAACTTTTCTTTTAACCATTGTTTTATATTTTTCTTTGTGACTATCTAACGCTAGATTTACAAACGATTAATCCACACTTCATTATATTGTTCCTAAGAAATTACGTATTTATTCATATAAATCGCGAAAATTGTAGCTTCGAAGCCAGAGTATTACAATGCTTATTCGTATAATTGCACGAGTTGAAATCAACTTAAACTTTCCTAAATAATGTTAAAAAAAAATTCGATATCTAAAGGTTCAATCGATTCTAATGATTAAAATTGAACTTTTTCAGTAACCGCGGACGGTCGCGAGCAGCTGGTCGGTGGCAGAGACAGTCAACCCGGTCAGTTTCCGTACACCGTGTATCTGAAATTAAAGGGCAAACCATTCTGCGGTGGTGCTATCATCGGCAATCACCATGTTATCACCGCTGCGCATTGTATATTGAATGCAAACAATAAAACGGAAGATGTGGAAGTGGTGACTGGAACCATCCATCTGAACCAGGGCGGCGAGACTCACCGTGTGGCTGGCCTTTACCCTCATCCCTACTACCCTGACTATCTCGACAAAGATATCGGCGTGATCAAGGTATTTATCGTGCTTTCCAATATCAGATCAACCCTTTACTAAACGAATCTTTCGTTCGAATATCCGTTTTACACATCAAATTCCAAGAAAATCGAAGTTAATCTTCGGGACTAATGAAACTGAAAACGCAATCGCCGAATTTGAGAGGACGTGCATCTACGAAAGCTCGAAACAGATTACGTTGATTCAGTCGTTAACAATTTCTTTTAATTTTGACAACTCGTCGAATGTTACAGCTTGCCGAGCCAATCAATTTCAACGCGAATCAACAGCCGATCGCGCTTCCCAGCGACAGAACGCCGGCGTTCGTTTACGGCACTGTGAGCGGATGGGGTGGCACGTCTTCTCCGCCAACCGCGATGTCGAGCTCCCAGCAACACCTGTCCGTCAAAGTAATCGACACAATGGTCTGCAAACAAACTTCTGGCTTCATCATTAGCGAGATCTGCACTTTAAACGGCCCCGACAGCGGTACATGCCTCGTAAGTGTGAACAAATCCTCGCAATCTCGGCTTCTAAAGCTTCGCTGATAGAATATGTTACTTATAACTATACTGCAGACTTTTATTATGAAATTTAGCTCATCCTTGTGTTTCTGTTGATTTTAGGGTGACAGTGGCGATCCATTTGTTTACAACAATGCAGTCGCTGGTGTCGCGTCAAGAGGAGTTCCCTGCGCCCGTGGACAACCGGATATTTTCACCAGTGTCTACGACAGTCTCGAGTTCATTCAAACAGCAATGGCATATTAACGACGACAGCATCATTCGCGTGATTCATTCACTATTTAAATATTTATTTCCAAATACTGTACTCATCGCATATACCACCGTCCAGTTTACAATACTTTCTACATAATAAAGTATAACTGATCACAACTTCGTATCATTTAAAATCATGTTATCTTTACTATCTTCCCAAATTCTTCGAATAATTGAGTCGCAGAAGTCAAGGCGGTTAAGTCTTAATATTTTCTAATTTTCGTCAGTTTCCATGGAAACAAAATTCTTTTCAATTGTTCAAGGATTTACCTTTTTTCTCTAGATCAGGAAACCCCTCTTATCGCTTCCGAATACGTTGTATAATCATTTGATAAGCAACCATAAATTTTCATGATTTTTACTTTCTGGACTTAATTATATTGGCTTCTAAGGGACTAAATTATGTATTATAAATAATTGAGCATAAAAAGAGCACTCAAACGAATGAAGTAAATCTATAGTTCATTGAACGACGTTCCTAAAATCCTGTCGCAAATATCGATTATCCGTATCGCCGTGTATCTGTTAAGATTTCAGCGCGTTGTAGATAAAGGCCAGGTTGTCGTAAACGCGTACGAAAAGATCTGGCCGGCCTTTCTCGCAGAAACCGCGCGATGTTACGCCAATGACTTGGTCGTTGAGAACCAGTGGGCTCCCGCTGTCGCCCTGGTTGAACAAATAAAAGCAACATTAAATAAAATGGAGTCTAGATATCGGTGATCATCGGATTACGGTTGGTTCAGTATGAATCGCGATCTCTTAGACTAGAATGAGATCGTTACTGACTAGTGACAAACTTTCACAATTTTACATATGTGGCACAAAATTGTATGGATGACAGAGATTTCTAGTTAATCAAGGAATCAATTAGTTATCATTTTAACAACCGGTTTCTTGTTTGTTTCGCAATTATTGATATCTTAGAAGCATTGAACGTTCCAAATGATTTTGAAAGTAAATAGTTTCATTTGAATACCGCAATGAATATCTAAAGAAACTGAGCATAATCGATTGCTACAATTTTTATGAGTATTACATGCTAATCGTATTAACCCTTTGCACTCAAAGCAAAACTATGAAGTTGAATATTTGCCATTTTAAATTAAACTTTGTATTGCAATGTGAAATATTTAATTAAAATAGCTTTGTTGCTTAATTTATCTGTGAATTATCTGTGAATTAATTCATCTGTGAAAAACTTTGCAAAGGGTTAAATGCTCGGTAGTTCTAGCGTTAATCTCAAAGTGAATCGAAACAGAATTTCTTTCATACGCCGCTGGTCTGTAAATTTAATGATATAAAAAGATATATAAATAACAATCACGAAGAATTGGTGATTTCGTTTACTCACTGGACAAACGCCGTAATTCGACCTAGTCGACGTACAGATATGTTGTCCATGCTCGCGCTGATAGTACGCGTTGCATTTATCAGTGTCGATGATCCAAATGTACACGTACTGCTGTGCGTTCGTTAGTCGTGGTGGTTTGGAATTAGGAATTTCCCCCCATCCGACCAATAACGCGTAAGTGTTCGTCGGCGGCTTGACCTGGCTGAGTGCGATTCGGTGCTGATACTGATTCTCAACGATAGGATCTTGCAGCTGAGATAAGAGAGCATTTGTATCAGTAACCTACTATTTTTAAACGTTTATCGTCTAAATTTAACACTACTATCGAAAGTGCCGAAGGACACCTGAAATTTCAATTTAAAATTACTCTCTCAGTTTAATCTCCTCAATCGAATTTTGCACATGTTCTATAATTAACTTCATATTCGTCATTGGAGAAGTGGAAAGAATTCAGAATATACGACTAAACTAAATAATTCTGAGTGAACATTTCAAAAGGTTTTACCTTCGACAGAAACATTGTTCGATTATCTTCTCTGTGTATCTTCTAAATGCATTATATAATCATTTCAAGAGCCGAACATTCTGAGAAGTGGAAAACTCAATTCAGAGTATACGACTAATCTAGATAATTCTTCGTCATTATTTCAAACTCTGTCTACCTTCGATAGAAACAATGTTCGATTACCTTCTTTGCATCTTCTAAATACATCGTACAATCATTTCAAAAGCCATTCACTCTCAATTATTCCTTCTTACTCAATCGCATTGGCTTCCCAGCGACTCGATTACAGAAACGATTCAACGATCGAACATCGAAATACGTGAAGGACACACCTTGATCACGGCTATGTCCAGTTCGTCGACTTTAGGGTAAGCCGGTGGAACGACGAAACGAGAGGCGCGATGAAGTTCGCCACCCTGGTCCAGGAGAACAGCGGAAGTGACAACTTCCACGCTGCCGGGGTTGTTCACGTGTTCCGTCAGGCAGTGCGCGGCAGTGAGTACGTGAGTGCTGTCGAGGATAGCACCGCCGCAGACATGTTGGTTGTCCACCCTGACGGATACCACGTACGGGAACCAGCCGAGCTGAGAGTTCACGGGGTCCTTCGGCTTTGTGTCGCCCGCGTTCACTGAAAAATCACTCGTAAAACTGTTACAAACGTGACCTATTACGATTTGAACTGTATTCGAAGCTGACCTGTCCTTGGATATCGTATTACACGGTGTGAAATGTTTCTGGAAAGGACAGAACGGAAGATAAACTGAATACAGAGAATGGTTGATTAACCCTTTGCACTCGGGAGGTGATTTCCCCTTGTCAAAAAATGTTAAGGATTTCTAGTGAGAAACTCCCGAGTGCAAAGGGTCGAAGATCATGCTTCAAAATGGTTAATCAATCGTTGATTGATTCATTCGTTATCACAAGGCACATTTGTATTTGTATTTGTAAATAATCGTATATTTAACGGTTGGAAATATAAAATGAGAGATCTGTGTTTTTTATAATGAGACTACAGAAAAATTCTGTATTATTCGCGGATGGAATATATGTTTCGCCTTCGAGATGTTCCTAAAATGATTTTCATTTTTGGATAAGACATATTCGGTGCAAAGTACGTACCGCAGACGATATACAAGAGAAAAGTAATCAGCATAATGCCAGACTATAGCGTCAACGAGAAGCGCGATCGCAGTTAATGAAAATGACCAGTGAGAGCTTTATATAGTATTATAGTGAAGCTGAACCTTGAGATGCAAATGGTTACTGATAACGGTAGACGTGCTAGATTGTCGATTGAAATAGCATATTGTTCGATGGAACTTAAAATTTTATTGATTTTCAAGCGAATCGAATTCGTCGAGTCTAATTAAACGACGTGTCTACCTACAGTTGCGTTAGCTGTTACTAGGAAAATTTGTGCGTCTTCATTGAAAACAGAAATAAACGTTTTTACCAATGTTCGTATAATAAGTCCGAAATACAGGGTCGAAGATTTCATCTACGGACGTGTACGAGCAATCTGCTTAATTAATTTTGAATGCTAAGTACTGATAATGCATCTGTAATTCTCTGTATCCGTTTCGTATCGATTGATTTCAATTGCATGCGTATCTCAGTTAAAATTCGTACGATTTTCCCCAATATTGGGATACGTGGTTGTTAATCAACTTTGTAGCGACAGCAATTTAACCCTTTGAACTCCATAGGCGCCTCTCAGTCGCCATTCGATTTGGCACAGAAAATTATGAGGTGTAATGTGTAATGTTAAATTTTGCGCGATGCATTAATATGTGAAACATTTAGATAAAACAGTCTTTTTATATATCTCAGCAGAAAGTGTGTTGGGTATTTTTGGCAGAAAATTCTTGGAGTGCGAAGGGTTAATTATTAACTAACGTTAATACGGAATCCATGGGAACATTGTAATTACAGTAGCGTAGATAACATGCTGTACATAATAAATGAATCTTTGTGCATAGTTTAATCTAAAAATTAACTATTGGAATAAAAGAAACTGAATTGCGATTGTGACAGAAATCTGACGAACGTGTTTATTTATATGAATGCAGAATATTGAGTGTTGTAATCAAAACATGATTTTCCTGATACAACTAAAGCAATCTAATCGTTAATCGATCCTCAGATACCGCGCAATCTCTGCTTTCTGTACCAATGCAGTATATAAACTGACAGCGATCGAGTTCGGTACGAGAAGCCTGACAATATCCGCCATGTTCTCTTACTGGGTGCATCTATTTTTATTCGGGCTCGTGGCGTTTGGTAAGTTTCACTATTCATCTGGAGATTGAAAATTAAAGACAATCATTTAAACCATTTGTCTTCGAGAACTCGTCATAATTGTTTGCTCTAATTGTATCGTACTTTGAAACGCGCAAAAATATTACTAAAGGAACTCTGTTTCTCAAAGAATAGACTCTGCAACGATAGAATATCATTTCTTCCATGGAAATATAGGAAAATCAGAAAATATCGAAGGATTTCGATGTGTCTTCGTTTCTTTTCCAGCCGATGCCAACGACCGGCAGCGCATAGTAGGCGGAAAGAATGCTTCGGTTGGCCAGTTCCCTTACATGGCGTCCCTGAGGGTGAAAAACAAGCATGTCTGCGGTGGCGCGATTGTTAGCCCCAATTACATCCTCACTGCAGCGCACTGCGTGGAAGCTGCCAACAATAGGGGGAAGCTTAGCGAGGTGACGATCGTCACCGGAACTATCTATCTCAACAGCGGCGGTGACGTCCACGCTGTCACGGCTATGTCCTATGACCCTGGCTACAAGAACGACCTTGACAAGGATGTCGGTATAATCAAGGTAAAGACGTCCGCACATTTCACGCTAGATTTACGGATGTTCACTCTACAATTTATTATTCTATCGATCCTAGAGAACTACTCGCGTGTACGTTATAGATCGCGACAGTTGTAGCTTCAAAATGCATTGCAATGTAAATTTTCGTAAACTTGAAAGCTCCTTTTATAACGTCTGAATATACTGTAGAATATTTCAGAAGATTAACACTAAAACTACCGAGCACTGCAATTGACTTTAAAATTTCGCTACAGAAACTCCGAGAGTGCGTCTCTTCAGACTTCAATTGATTCACAATTCAGTTTGCGTAGTGCTAAATGAATTTAATAATTTCTCAGAGAAACATCTGTTACCTTTCTAATAATTGCAAAAAGAAGACATCAGGCATGGGTCATTTGACTCCTCAATTGTTCTCTTCTGAATTTAAGTCAATAACACAACAGAATTCAACGGAATGATTTATAAGAGAATTCAGCTTAGCGATTAATACAATTCAACCTACAATAATTCATTTGCAAAATTCTACGAAGCTACTCAAACCCAAAGTGTCTAACCAACGCGTTCGTTGCAGCTCGCCCGTCCGATCACGTTCAACGAGAACCAAAAACCCATTGATATCGCCACTGAGAGACCACCGGAAGGGAAATACGTCACTGTAAGCGGATGGGGCCTTACGGCGTACCCCTCCCCTGCTCCCCCAGACAATATGCAGTACCAGTTCATTAAGGTGATCAAGTTCAGCAAATGCCGTTTCTACTTCCCAACTATCACTACTGCGGTCTGCACGTTCCTCAAAGTGGACGTTGGCGTATGCTTCGTAAGTATCAAAAACTTAAGCTTCATCGTCATGTACACATCCCAAGGAACTCAGCTTTGTAACATCGAGTCAAACTACTAAGAATTTCTTGACTTTTCAATTTAATGAACATGAACATTAACGTTTCTTCAATCGAAATGAAACGTTGCCTTCTTACTAGCATCTACTAGGTGAAGTAAACATAGATCTATGAATATAGCTGCCTTTCCAATGAATTTTCAAGTAGTTTTGGTAAACGTGGCTGCAAAAGAATCCATAATGGAGGTTCAACCTTCTGCACTCGAGTTTAGTTTTACCGCGTCAAATCAAAATGGCGACTGAGAGTCACCTCTCTAGTGCAAAGGGTTGATAACTCCAATTTTCACTCTCGATCAACGGTCCGACCTTATTTTCTTCAGGGAGACAGTGGCAGTCCATTGGTCTACAACAATCAGGTGGTCGCCGTGGCGTCTCGCGTGGTACCCTGCGCGAAAGGATATCCGGATCTTTTCAGCAGCACCGCCGACAGCATGGGCTACATTCGCAAAGCGATGTCCGAATGATCTCCTCGAACCAATCACGAAATCGACGACACTGCGAACACGACGAACCTTTGTATTGTACTGGAAATATGTGAAATATAACGTTGACCTTAAGATGTTTGCCTCCGCTTCGATTGTTCGATTTAATCGTGCTCCCTGTGCGTGTTAATGGCGGATAAGACGTAACGGGAGTTACGTGATCGATCGTATCTAAGCTGTTTGTTTTGGAAACTCCGCATACTGTCGAGATAAAGGAAATATTTCGCCGTTGGCAGTTAGCTCGTTGCTAAATCCGAAACACTCGTGGCTATAAATAAATTGCGAATCGAGATGTCAGATGGAAATCTCTTTTGTCGAATCGAGGATTTTAGATATTGCTAATCAGAGCTCGAAGTTCTGTAACGCGTAATCTGTGGAGCTTTAGAAATCGACGGTTCTTTCATTTTTAATTGAAATTATGACGATTCAATGATGTCGACGTTATTTCTAGTTAATAGACATAAATAGAAATCGACGGTTCTTTCATTTTTAATAAAAATTATGACGATTCAATGATGTTGATATTATTTCCAGTTAATAAACATAAATAGAAATCGAATATCTGCTGAAATCTGAAACATTCCCCAGAGTGGAACCTCTCGAAGCAATCGTTGCGTTATCGTTTAAAGAATCTCCGATGCAGAAACAAAATACCTCATTATCATTTCTGATTATTTTCGAATGTGAAAAATTGGTACAAATTCCAAACTCGTCAACACTTCTCTGCACTCGGAACAGTTGTCTTAAAATGAAGAAGTCAAGGTTCTTGATAAAGATTGTATAAATTAATGTTTAAGTTTATCTAAAAACTGGTGTCAACCATATTTAAATGACGAATTAGTCAAACTGATATACTTCCCAATGAGTTAGGAAAGATATCAAGGTCGCAGGAGGTATCTGGATCAAATGTACTCACCTTGAAATTATCGCATATTAATGAGTAGTGAAAAATAAATAATCAGTATGCATGTACTAATTGGTTCGCCTCATGGTTTCCTCGATTTCGCGCACCTGGTGATTTCGTCGTTTCGCCTAAAACATTTGTCTCGCTATCTGCCTCATGCATAATGTTATCAATCCCATCTGCCACTCAAGGTTCAGAATAAACATGCTAGTACTATATAAGTGACCTATCTTTCCGTCCACATCGTCACAGTTGTGATAGGTTTTCCGTGATAGTCTCAACCATGGCTCGCAACTTCCTCACTCTTTTGTTACTCGGCAGCGTTGCCGTTGGTAAGTGCACTATACCTATCACTATTGACAGCTACTACATAAATATTTCAAGTCCTCTATACGAACAGCTACTAACGAGAAATTAAATATTCATTTTCCATCGATCGATTTAACCCTTTATGAACGAAGATTCTTTGAAGTATTCAAAACCTTCAGCAGATGAAATTCGATTATGCATCACTCGCGTAATTAATAGAAGAAAAAGGAATGCTGTTATGAAATAAATAACTGTCGAATTATTCTGTTGCCACAGCGACCGCGCAGAGTCCCGAAAAGTTATTGGGAGCGAGCGACGCGCAGCCGGGCCAATTTCCTTACATGGTGTCGCTTCGTTTAAACGGCAACCACATGTGCGGCGGTGCAATTATTAGCCAGTACCATGTTCTCACCGCCGCGCACTGCGTGAAAGCCCTCGTCGATTACACGAACTACGTCTCTGTCGTTACCGGCACTATCTACCTTCACGAGGGTGGCCAGAGCTATGGTGTGGCCGCCATGTTTACTCATCCAGGTTACAACCCTGGCAGTCAGCCGAACAATGACGTCGGTGTGATCAAGGTGGACACTTCTGTTCTCTAATGTTCATGGAATTCGATCGAATTATTCGATAATTTTACAGTCAAATTCTATAGTTTCCTAACTTTATTTAACTTTATTTTGTAAAAACAAGAACCGTATTTGATGAATTGCAAATAATCCCACTTCAAGACTTACTAAACGACAAAAGAAAAAATAAGCAGAATAAAAGGCAACACGTTGCTAAGTGAAAAGTGGGAGATCTCCCCATTCGGTTGGCATAGTGTTGAGAAACTCTTACCTTTACAGCTAGCCGAACCCATAAGTTACAACGAGTGGCAGCAAAGCATACCCCTTCCCACTGCCGACCCACCGGCCGGCAACTACGTCGTCGTGTCCGCTTGGGGTGAGACATCGCCACCCCCGTACGGACCTCTGCCCAACACGCTGCATTACGTGTACCTGATGGTCATCAGCTACGGGGAATGTTCTCGTTACCATGAACTCGATGTGTCGAGGAAAGTGGTCTGCACGTTTGACGGCGTCGGCATCGGCTTGTGTCCTGTAAGTACCGGAAATGACACGATTTTGCAGAAATTTCAGTTTTGAACAATTGAAACGTTGAGCTTATGGTGTTCCTAAGTCAATGTTTCGGAGAGATCAGTCCTTCAGCCTATTTTATTTTATATTTATATTTATATTTATATTTATTTTATTTCAATATTTCTCAAATTGATGCGTTATACAATATTAAATATCAAATTTTATAGTTTTGCAGTGTGAAATTAGGTGGTGAGAGTCACCTCTCGAGTGCAAAGGGTTAATAACGAAGTAGTCAGATCGATCAGAGTTCAGAAAGAGATCACAGGACAAGGGGTTGAACGTTAAGAATAAATAATGATTCTCGTTTTGTTGCTGTTTAACAGGGTGACAGCGGCAGCCCGGTTGTTTACAACAATCAAATCGTCGGCGTGGTGTCCCGTGGAATTCCTTGCGCGCGCGGCGTGCCCGACGTGTCCACCAGTGTGTACGACACCCTCGATTTCATTCGCGCAGCGATGGAATTGTAATTAAAACTAAAATTAAAATTGATGAATCATAATGGAAGTTTTGTAATTTTTATAATTTACTTGTAATCTTCCGATCTTATATCAGGGAATCATTGGTAGGGGGTTTTACAAGATTTCAAGAGCGTCCAAGTGTTTCCATAAAAATTGGCTCGTTAACGAGCTGAACTCATCGTAGCTCTAATTTATACAGTTCAAACACCGATAGCATCGTCTAAACATTTTACCGATAAGTCAGCTGGTTAAATAACGGGGGCATCAAACGCAAACGAAACGCCTCGTTAAATTGCTCGCGAAAGTGGGTCGTCTACAATGGAAACAAAAAGATCGATCCGTTACGCACTTCAGTTAAACAATAACAATGCACGATAGACATCGTTCTCATGATAAATACATGCTTCGCTATCGGTTCGAACGATAATGGCGCAGAAAAACTTCAATTTGTCGCGAAGCATTACATTCTGAAAGGCTTTCAACGGATTGGTTTAATTAACTGCGTGATCTGGCCGAGGCAACGGCGATATAATCAGATTAATTACTGTCGTCGGCGAGCGGTGACGTCATCGATACTGTTCCAATGTCCTCGCCGTCTTTGGTATGGTAGAACGTGTGGGTCAGCCAGATGGGCCCACTCGTCTGCGGTGCCCATTACGGAACCTCTACCGCGTGCTCATTGACTCACGCGATATCTGAATTTACGATATCGTACCTACGAATGACCGAATAAAAATCTATCTGCATCGAGCGTCGATTATTTCAAGCCCGACGTCCAATCGAAACGACGATGCTCGAATTCTTTAGCTGAGATTAACGCTAGAACTACCGAGCATTTAATACGATTGATATGTAATCTCTATAAAAATTGTAACAGATTATTTTCAGTTTCTTTGGATATTCATAGTACTCGAGTGAAACTATTTCCAAGATCATTTCAAACATTCCATACTTTTAAGGTATTAATAACTGCGAAACGAACAAATCGAAACCAGTTGTTGAAACGATAACTAGTTGATTCTTTGATTAACTAGAAATCTCAGTTATCACAAGCATCCTATTAACACTAAAACTACCAGAGGGGTCAAATGACCCATGTGATGTCTTCTTGCAATTATTAGAAAGGTAAACGTTTCTCTGAGAAATTATTAAATTCACTTAGCACTACGCAAATTCAATTGTAAATCAATTGAAGTCCAAACAGAAACACTTTCAGAGTTTCTATAGACCATTGTTCTATAACACCATTCTTCTTTCCAATAACAACTTGTTGCTAATTAGCTCTAGCCACCGTAGAAGCTCTATCAACCATAAAAACACCGTAAAAAGACCGTTAACGCGTTAAACGCTAGAATGTTTTATCGCATATCTCCATTTACGAGTCGCTTACGAATTCATTCAACATTCCTCGCGCATTCAACCATCTCTAACATCAACAATCTCACAGCTCTCAAATCTTCGAAATCGATCTTAGTATCTTTCGACCTAGAATCGGCAACTGCGTGATCTCGCAGATTGCGATTCTTTTCAGCCAGATGAAGCGCTCGGTATCTAGCGCGGGGCTGAGCGTTCCACCCCATTTTGGCATTGATCTGACGGACCGCGGCCGTGGGGACGGTTCTCGTTCGCAGAGTGGCGCCATGATCTCGGCCACCCTCTCGCCCTCTCGCCCTTTTCGCGCTCCGACGACCCTTCGCACAGGCGCGCGCTCGCCCCGTGACGTAGTCAGGGAAAGTACTGTCAAGGGTGCCCTCGTGCGCCGAATGCGGGTTAGTGGGGCACAGACGTCCCGACGCCGAGCGTCGACGTCGCTCCTCCATTGTCGGAACCGATCTCCCGGACGCTTCATCCCCCGTCCGGAAGCCCCCGCGCGAACGAGTCTCGTCGGTTCCATACGGAAAGCAGTGATACGTCCGCGACAGTGTTACCACCGGACAAAACCACCCATGGGATACGCGCGGAGTCGGAGCCATGGCTATGATCAGATGCTGCTTCGAAGCGGAGGTGCCGGACGTCTTCGAATCCGTCATACTGAAGTGCACTGACCCTGGCTGTGAGTACCAATCGCGGTTCAATCGAACGGTCGGGGGTGGTTTCGCGTCGACACGTCGACTCGCGCGATTCTCTGGGGTTTTCTATGGTGTCACTGTTGCTCGATCGTGTTAGGGGTAGTGGGAATTCGTGACGATGCTAGAGGAAGCTGCTGATTTTACGAGTTTCTTATTGTAAGTTTTGTGAACGTTTCGAGAGCTGTCTTGCGACGTTTCTCAGTGTTTCTCGCGATTCGTTGAAACTGGACACATGTGACGCCTTTGGACGTGATTGTCAGATTTCATTGTAATTGGTGGATTGGCAGTGCATGAGATGTCTTCTGAGAATTAAAGTATAACGCGAAGTCGAGTGAAAAGTCCAAGTGACATGTACGTTCTATTCTGGTTCGTTCCTAAGGATGTATTCGAACATCTGTAGACTCTGTTCTGAATTATTTGTCATTAGTTCAAGAATATACACGATCAATGAAACCGGAGTGGATCGTTCCGTTCTAAATGCTTTCGGAATCTGTCTCAAGAATGCGAAAGTATGAATTGACATATCAACTTTAATTTCTGAACGTCACTTTGCGGATGCTGGCGCTGATGCTACAGTAGCAGTGCTTGCTTTAATATTTTCAGAGAGTTGTATGTTTGATGTGAAATTGTAGCTGCAATCGGTTCGAATTATCAATTATACGCGAGCGAGAATAATGTCGAGATAGAATTTATGCCGTCGCCACGTGTGATTCTGCGAACAGGCCGTTATTATTGATTTCCGAAGCCCTGTGTCAACATCCGGCATGTCTTGCCTTCTTATACTCCTTCGGCTGACGGGTGTTCTCGCAGTTCCCTTGGAAATGTTCCATTGAACGTCGCGAACGTTACATTACACCGGGGAAAATACAATCCCACCCACTCGTGTTTCAGGACATTGTATAACACGCAACGGGAACAATTCCTGATACACTATACTCGGCATTCGTTGCATATTTCGACGAATAAAAGAGAAACGAACGGATGCTGGTATTTATACGATTTTTTCAATTATTCCTGTACGCCCACTATACTGTTACGTCAAATTTACTTTATTCTTCTCAGACTGTTTCCCTTTCAGTTCAGTGTCATGCAGCGTGATTGGATAATTTTAAAAATAACTTTATATTTAATTCGTTTTTATCGATCCTACGCTAGACATCTAAAAGTTACGAAAGATTCGGAATAATTTGCAATTAAAAGTGCATCTAATGGATATCAGATTAAATAATAAAGTTTAACGAAAAACGTTAACAATCATAAACACAAAAGTGAATGGTGGCGCCATCAGTGTGAACATACAAGAACACGCTAGAGATACAATTATCCACTGAGCAGGGTAATTTAGATTTTAATTAAAACTTCATTTAAAAAAGATGTGTATAGATATTAGTACACATCAGTAGAACTCGATGGAAGTCGATAAATATCAGTGAAAGTCAATGATAGCGTACATATGTCGCTGGACGTCAAGGTCACTGAAGGTCAATGGATATCTATGGGTATCAAGAAATATCAATGAGTATCAATAGCTTTCACTTTGATGCCAGATAGATTTCAATCGAAAAACTTAGAGGGGAAGACTCTCCCTTGTAGATGCTAAGGGACATTTTTTTTACCCCTGAAAGATTCAAGAAAGTGTCTTCATTATAGATACTAAAAGGTCAGATGAGATACTGATGCTGAATGATCTTTAATGTGAGGGAAAACATGCAGAAACTCGTAGATATCAGAGTATTGACCATAATCCCGTGTAAACTTGAACTTCACAGTAACTGGGAGGGAAATTTACCCTACAGATGTCAAAGGGTCAAGTAGGGCGCCGGCGCCAAGTGACCTCTGACATGGGAATACACGTGGAGATATTTATGGGTACTAAAATTTGACCCATGTTAGTTTAAGGTCTTCAATTTAAGTACATCTGAAGTTCTGAATAATTCATTAAATATATTAGCATGAAAATAATATATAAATATTGTAAAGTTATCATGAAGATATTTACGCAAGTGGAATAGCGGCATAATATAATAGTTTCATGACGCCATCTATAAAGAGTTGCTTGAAACTGTTTGACAAATAGTTTCCAGTTTTTTGTGGTAGATAGCGCTATGGGTTACTTCTAATGTTTCTATTATTTCGGGAAATATTTAATTATACAAAACCTGCTGTATATATTAACGTCGTAATAGTAATAGGACTTCGTAAATAATTTCTTGATGTTCCTTCAATTAATTAGGGATGTAGTATTAATAGTTTAAGGCACGTTCTCACTGGTTGAAAACTACACTCTATTGATATTATCAGTCGATCGAAGTCCTTTCGCGTGTGTGTAGCGATTCGATCCTCTTGAAATGTTTGGTAAATATTGTAATTTTGCATTAAAATTCATAATTCTTTCGTGACGTAATCTTCTTGGTTACGTTTCACTGTTGTTCGTTGACTGTTTCGTACAGTTCATTGAATTGTATCTTCTGTCAATTATATATTTTTTCAAATATTGTTAGGTTGTTGCTGGTGCTGTTCTGCTTTACGTCCACGATACAAAAGACTCGTTGACAATATTTTCCCAGTGAATCCACAGGTAGAGTTCACTATTATTTACCTACTCCTCGATAGTTGCACAATTTTCAATAATTAAAGATATAAATACATTGTTTTATTGTTATGTAATTCATCACCTATATACAGTAGACTAATGTCAACAGAATTGACAGTTCTATGCAAATTTGTAGCACATACTAGTAAATACAATTATTTCTCTACTTATGATAACATATCTATCTTTTTGATTCATTTGTTATTTGGAAAAGAAACACTTTTCTTTGTGATTTATGTGACTAATGTGCCTTTATAAGTATTGCTGTATCGTAAATTTGCAATGTAAAGTTGACCGTCAACTTCGAGTGTTACCTATATAGGTGTAATATATATTTATTTTTCTCAAATTTACTATTTATAAATATTAAATTATAATAATGTTCACTACAGTAGATAACATAATATTCTTCTATAACTAGGATGGACTAGTCAAGAACAACATGGAAAAATTGACCTTTTATTCATTAAGTAGTCCTGAAAAACTAGATAGGATTGGAGAGTACTTGTTTCAAAGGGCTTCCAGAGACATTTACAGGTATGACAATGATCCAAATGATAGATAATCATGCATTATTGAGCCAATAATTACAAAACATGCATACTCATGTGATTAATGTGAGTTGTTTGTTTCTGTTATGGGCTAGTCATAACAATAATTGTATATTACAATCTTGAAACTGTATATTTACCATCAAGATATATGTATCTTTCATATTTAAGCGATACAATTAATATATGTTTGTATCTACTAATAGGAGAAGAAATGGATTCGTTGTTATTGCTATGGAAGCAATGGATATTCTTTTACTAGCATGTCATGCCCAAACTTTAAACTTATTTGTTGAAAGCTTCTTAAAAATGGTACAGAAGCTGTTGGAATCTACTGATCCACAATTACAAATATTAGCTACACAATCTGTAAGTTCAAATAAGTACTGTTATAATAATAATTATTATTATTTTTGTTATTATTATTGTTGTTGTTATTTTTATAATTTTTATTATGATAAAGATTGATTTATGATCATTAAAATTAAATGCATTTTGATGTGTTGTAGTATTGTTATCTTTTGTTGATTTGTAAAGTAATTATATTTTCGACATCTTTGAATTCAGTTGAACAAAGTGCTGGCTTCTTCCAGTTTGTCAGATTTGCCAACATCGAACAAGATACGCCGTCTTATCACACACGTTACGATTTCTTTGTATCAAAGTTCTCTGCAATGTGCCACTCCAATAATGATGACCCTGCGATCAGGAAACAAATACAGTTAGCCGGAATTCAAGGCTTACAGGCATGATTTTCTATGCTATTTAGGTACATAGGTTGTATTTTAAAATTCATTGATTATTAAACATTTTTTATACAGGGCGTTGTTAGGAAAACACTTTCTGATGATTTGGTAGAAAATATTTGGGAACCTGTTCATATGGATAAAATAGTTCCTTCATTATTGTATAATATGCAAAATTCCAGGTAATATATTCAAAGAACATGAGTTGTATATAATGTCATTTTATTCTTATGCTATAATTCTATATCTATCTTTTCTAATAGATATTCTAATAAAGAAGATGCAACCCCCGATAATCCAACAGAAGAACGATCCGACCCACCACAATTTGCAGAAACATGTATGCGAGAACTCGTAGGGCGGGCATCATTCGGCCACATTAGATGTGTTATTAGGCCTGTATTAAGGTTTGTGGATGGTTATTTCAAAAATTTAAATTGTCATTTACTTTTCAACATGATAATAACTTACTTATGTATATATTCAAGGAATAAAACTTATTTACAGACATTTAGATAATCATCAATTATGGGTTCCTAATTATTTTGCAATTCATACATTCAGAATAATTATGTTTTCCATTCAGGTTAGTAAAAATATATTGAATAAAATACAATGTTCAGCAATGTATAAAAACATTAATATATTTGTTTTAGTCTCAATATTCTTACACAGTTGTAGAAGCCCTAATGATTCATCTTGATGATCATTCTAAATCATCTCCGAAAATTCGAACCAGTATTGCAGATACTTTATCCAAAATTATTTCAATTGCAGCTGGTGAAAGCGTTGGTAAATATCAATGCATAGAAGAAAAAGGAATATATTATTCAAAACGTATTCTAGCCTATTAGAGAAATGTTTCTTAACGCATAAATTCTTTTCAAGGTCCATCTGTTTTGGAAATAATAAATTCTTTGCTAACTCATCTTCGAATTAGTGTAACAAGAAATCAGTCATCCAGCTGTGATGAACAGTTGTATCAGGAAGCTCTCATTAACGGTTTGGGAGAATTCGCAAATCACCTTCCAGATTATCAAAAGATAGAAATTATGATGTTTATTATGAGTAAAGTTCCATACAGTCAACCAGATCGTGCAGTCTCAGTTGGGAAAGGAGACGTGTTACTGCAGAGTATTCTTTTAAAATCTCTTTTAAAAGTAATCCACACATAATGTAATACATCCAAGTAATAAGTGTTCATGTTTAAATACGTGTATTTTATTTGTTCCCAGGTTGGCACAAAATATCAAACAATACATTTAAATACAACATTCCCGCCTAGCTTCTTGGAACCATTATTAAGAATGTCACTCGCAGCAGATGCTGAAATGCGACTTTTGGTACAAAAGATTCTTCATACATTAATTGATAGACATTTAAATAGCCCGAAACTTGCAAAACCTACGTAAGTCACTCTTAACGTACCTTAAAAAATGCTTATTATTTACAATTCAATTTTATGTGAATATTTATGAACATTCAATTATCGTATACTTATTAAACAGGATAAATGTTGCACCCCTTGATCTTACCATTGAGAAAGCATCTAGACCAGACGTGATCTTCATTCGAAAACATGGTCCAGAAATTTATTTAGCATTATATGAATCATTAGAATTGGCAAGTAATATGGTCGAGAACGTGGAATCTATATATACAACATTGGCATTACTTGCTGTAGAATTAGCTTCAGAAGAAACGATATTAGAGCTGTTAAGACTGGTATTGAGTCTCCAAGATTTAGCTTTAACGAGTGGCCAAATCAGTATTTCGCTCAAATTCAATTTGCACAGCATTGTCATCAGCTTATTGGTACTCATATCCTATGTTTGTAATATTACATCACTCATGGATTATGCGAACAAAGTGAGTTACTATTTACTTAACACATATTATATATTTTGCTGATATATTATAACTTGATTTTATTTTAACACTTTAAGCTTGTAGAAGCACGGCGAAAGGAAGCTCCACATCTTTTGCCTGATTTACAATCTCAATACGATGCCGGTTTGTCATCTAGAGTAGCACCGGCTTTGTTAGTTGATCAAACTATTTTAAGCGAATGCTTAAAAGGAGCTGGTCTCGATAGCGGAAAACTGCAACAAGGATCTGGTTATAGCAGCACGTCTCTTCAACATCGGTAGTACAAATAATTTTAAATATCCCGGCTATTTTCTTATGGCGTTCAAATTTATTATTATAAATTCATATTAATTAATTACTTTCAGACATTCGTGGGTTGATAGTGCTGGACGGAACTCGTTGGCTGATATTAATTCCGGCGGTACAGAATTGGACAGCGGTGGTTCATCTCCAGGTGTCCAAAAGGTATGTTCTTTTTATTTATAGTTGTAACGTACTTTAAATTCTGTATTGATTCTGTTAATGTTTGTATCTTATAGAAACTGCCAGGTGAAGAGTTAACTTTCGAAAGTATGAAGCGGATTCTGACAGAGAATAATAATAACCACATCATGGAGGAAGAAAAACGAATACAGTTGTCACACTTCTTCAGAAATGCACCATTTCAAGATTTGGTATCGAAAACACAGCCAAAGGTATGGAAGCATACATTTGATTAGCATAATAAGGAAATGCTTTATTTATAAAATATGTAAACTGCGTCTGACATGTCGAATAATTTCACAGCATGACGTTCTCCAAAGTAAATTGTCAGAAATATTCAACACATTATCTGTTGATCCGCGTAATACGTCTCAACCTGGCGGGCCACCGACGGATACCAAACCAAATCAAGCACCAGCTTATGAAATACATTTCCCAGAATTATTTGTTTATTAGATCAGCAATGCATTAAGTCATATATTATTCTAATTGTTACGCGTTAATAATAATTTTATTAAGTTATTTATATATTTACATTGAAGGAACATAAAAGGATTCTTATTTTTTACGGATAGAACATTTTAGTAACTTTAAATTATCCACACAATTAAAATATAAATGTATATATTTATTTTTAATTTATGAAAGAGTTAACAATTATTTTTATATTATAATTTGTAATAGTACTTCAAACGAATGGGAGAATGTAATTGCGACATGAAATAATTAATGATGCGTAACTCGCACCATATTTCTATTTACGTGACTTGCGTGAAATAATATTACTGATATATTTCTGCATTTCTGACATTACTGATAAGATGAATACCGACACACTGAAACATCGTTTCATCGGAAAGTTTGCTTATCGTTGCACACTGCTTGTGTAAGTTATATACAGCTTCATCAAAATTACAGGAAATGGGAGTGTGTATATAAAAACATACCATTATCACAAAAGTGTTACATACTCATATAAATTGTATTTTAAACGAATTAAGCTTGCGCAAAACCATTTGGATCTTTTTGAAGGATAAATGTTAACTATGGACTAATAAACATATTCACAAATCAAAACAAGACAATTTATTGAATTTTTGCGTGTAAAGGTCCATCTATTACAATATCAGTACAATTATTCTTCTTTGCATTATTGCAAGATTTTGTACAAAATATCCAGGTGATTGTTTACCAAGTACTAAGTTATTGGAATGAACACAGATGTCAGATTATATATATCAAATGTTTCAAGATTTATTTAATTCAATTACTCATAATAAGAATGCTATTATGTTAGCATCGAACAGAGTAATATAGTTGAGGATAATTTTATCCAGATATAAAAGAATACAAGAGGTATTCATACATTCCATATCAACTGGTTGTTGGGCATTTGTGTATAATTGTAATTTATAGCTTATATAATCGTGCAATAGTGGAACATAGAATTAATGTTTTAAACTTTTTCCATTCTTATGAGCAATCGAATTAAGGTTAGTATGTGAGACATACCACTCGTACAATGACTACTTAAGGTAATGCAATTTGAAGCGTTTAATTATCAGTGGTTCTGATGTGTGTAGTCAATTTGGTATACCCTGATAAACTCTTCAAGGTTCCACCTTCAGTAACTCCACATCGAAGATAAGAACAGCATTTGGTGGAATAGTGTGCCTTTGTCAAGGGTAATATAACAGAATATATTTCGTATTAAATAAATCAAAAAGTCTTCCATGATACTGAGACAAATACCAGAAAACATTAATACGAATATAAATTTACTAATAAATTACCAGTCAATTTGTTGCTATTTCTATCTAAAAAAAATTACCAGTACCAATAATACTATAAAGATTTACTTTATATTAAAGGATATACTCCAGGATGTCCTCGGCTACCATAGGCAAAGTCTGGTGAGCAAGTTAACCTAGCACGCTCTCCAACACACATTTGAGCAACTCCTTGGTCCCACCCTTTAATAACTTCTCCTTTACCTATTTTAAACTTGAACGGCACCCCACGGTCCCTGCTAGAGTCAAATTTTTTTCCATTGTCAAGGGTACCTATTGAACGTGCAACAAATATATGATTACACATTTTTGTAATGGGTTTGCAACAATGATACATAATTCTACTGTTAAATAACATATACATTTATATAACTTTTTATATTTTCACTTATAATCATGACTTGCCTGTTTACAAGCAATTGTACAACTATATTATACGAGAAGTTCAATATTTTATTTTCATTCTCAATATTCGTCAGAACATTAAAAAAAGATATTGATTAGTTTTACTGTTTATTTTTAACGTATAACGCAATATAAAGAAGTTGATAAACACGTTTACCTACCTGTGTAGTGAACAACTACAGTCTGTCCCTTTTTCGGATATGTCTGGCCTGTACATATGAAACATTGCTCTGAGAAATTTTACACTATAAATGAAAAGTATTAAATACTAAAATTTTATACAGTCGTCGAGCATATTAACAAACGCTCGAAATCACCTTATTTGGAAGAGACTGTAGACGAGACATGCTTTTCATAGAATTTCAGGTTGTAAATAAATCCGCGTCGATGTGACTGCGGCATATTTTAACCAAGCCGCGATTTAAAAAGATCTCATCGAAATAAAATAGGAGGTAAATGAATGAAAGTATAAGAAAAACAAAATGCTATGAAAATCGTACAAGAAAAGTGAAGAAACGTAGAATATCGAATACAGAATAATTACCGTCCCCAGGAGAAAGAACTTCTACATCCACGCCCATGATTACGTATTTTCTGCCACTGAAATTAGTTCCTCTGTGAAGAGGCGAGTAAATTTAGTTACGAAAAGCCGGGCGGTTTGTACCGGTAAGTAGAATTCACATAAACGTGGTCCTTGTGGCTGTAAAAAAACGATGCCAGTCCAATGCTGTTCGTTGAATATAACAATGTATCCACAGATACCCTCGGGAAAGAAATTTTAACTGAAAAAGCCGCCGGTAGGTTCTCTGCTGTCTCATTACTTCCGGTTAACATACTGCGATCAATGTCAATATTTCCGATTGTGGCAAATTTAAAATGCGTTCCTCTGTTCACGCTCTATTTTGCTCCCTTTAAACAGTTCTCGGGAAACTACCTTACTTGTTTCAACAAATGAATTAAATGAACGTTTACAAAACTTATTTTTATACGTTTTATTATCGTTTTATCGTATAAAATTAATAAAAAGTATAATTAAGTTAAGTACAATATGCGACACTGTATGGAATTGTAGACAGATCACAACTTCACCACATAAGTAAACAACAGAAAACATTTTTGAAATAAATAAATAAATTTCTATAAAAGGTCCCGTGGATCATATAGTTATAAATTATAAATATATATGTATATGTATATATTACTTACAATATGTTCAAAATTGATCTAAATTCGAGTACATTAATCCAGTACTTTGTATCATGAGTTAAAGCAGAATTTGTAAAACACCTATTTAACAGTTAAATAGATAAATAAATTCTTATACTTTAAAAATAAGTATTACGCAATTTCACCGGTGTAAGTTAATACCATGTAGCCTATACAAACGTAACTTAAAATGAAAACAGAACGTTATCGATAATTAATATAAAATGATTAGCTAGCACCGTAGTTAAAAAATATAAAGTTTGGAACCTTAAAAATGGTATAACAATTTTTAAATGCATTTCCGCGTCATATGGTATAACTTAGAGAGATAATACTGAAGTAAATAAGAATCTATGATTTCTTTTTATCTACATCGCGTATTCTTTCCAACAAAGCCAGTGATATATTTCCAGGTATTCTCTGATGTTCTTTTATTAAATCATTAAGTGCATCAGCAACCTGAAAATAATGATACATTATTGCATCTTATTAACTATTAGTTGCAAATGAGTTTGCATTTTTTCATTACCTTCAACTGTAACTCCTCTGGTGTAAGACTGGCGTCATACGGGATTGGTTTGCCAACATATGTTGTTAATTTAACCGGAAATCCTCCGTAAATAGGTACAAAAGGAAATCTTGTTGCAGCGTATATTCTCAACCACATTCTCCTACCCAAACTTATGGTTCTAAATGCTTCTCTAACATTTTTTGTAAATAAAGGTATAATGCACTGTTACAAAAATGTTAGTGATTCAGCACAGTGCAAGTAAACACAAGAAATATAAAATAAAATACCATACCACTTTGGCGTCTAGTGCAACTTTTGCAAAACCTACTCGTTTCTTCCACATCAATTCATAATAAGAGTCTCCAAACTGAGCTTCATAGACACCTCCTGGTGAGATAGCAAGCATGTTTCCTTCTTTTAAAATGTTAGAACATGTTTGTATAGTACCAGGAATGACTTTTAGTACATCAGAAATTATGGACCATCCAGGACATTTAAAGAGAAATCTATCTGCTACTGTATGAATTAATTTTGAATTTAAAAGTAAAACTTTTGATATAAAATAATAAAGGTCTATTGGGATTGCTCCATGGTAATATACAAAAAGTACTGGTTCATCTTTTGGTATATTCTCCAATCCAACAACTTCATACCCTAAAAAACAATTTAAATATTAGAATATATAAATACATACATGAATAGCAACATTAAATAGTAACATTAAATTTATAACATACCATACCATATCCAGCCATGAGCATCCCAAACTGCAGCTACCACATTGCGAGCTGCATTTCTCCAATCAGTTCCATACGCATTTCTTAGTGTGCCTCTATTAAAATAAAACACCATAAGCAGACGTTTAAACCTTTAATTCGTTAAACACATTTGAATTAATAAATACATACCTATGTAACTTATATACATACAAGATCAATGCTGTCAGGTATAGTAATACAACAATCACAAGTGGTAGTAAAAATGTTATCAGAAGTGGCATCAAAAGCCATGATAACCAAAGTGTAAAATCCAGATCAATATATTCAACTAGAAATATTTCATACATTAATTATTAATACGAAATGTGATAACAAAATGTAAAATGTATAGATAAATGAAATGTATGAATAACATTAATAGAATTGAATTATCTAAACATGCATGTCACACTCTATAATATTATTGCTAATAGTTCTAATGTTTGTGTTGTGTTCTATATACATTTATAAAACAATGTGTCTCTCAGTAATATATGTAAAATAACATTTTTACCTATAATATCCTCTAAAGTTTTTCTTAAGTCGAATACCATAGAAAACATATTTAGATTGTGAAAAGAAGTGAAAACAGGAGTAAATACACTTTTATAATTACAAAATGCTTGGTACTGCTTTTAAAATCAGCCACATATTTACTAATGTCAATGCAGAAATGAAACTCCAATTCTTAACTCTGTTCCCTTTATACCTCTCATTTATACTCTGGAATAATTATATCCAGCCGTTAATTGCATATGTAAATATCTCACTATGTTTGAACTGTCATCCTATATTATTTTCCATAGCTTATTGTTCTATACTCCACAGAATTATTCGTAAGTCATTTCATGTATTTATTCATTGATTTTTGATTAATATTTTCCTTTAATATGTAGTATTACATATATGCCAATCTATTTATTAAAAATTTAGTGCAAACAATTACAGTTCCCATAAATCAGTAAATGCTAAGTGAATATGATATGCCACTGTCAGTGCAGGTGTTGGGTTACAGCTACCTTCACACATGTCAGATTTGATTAATGAATTTAGTAGATAATCATTTTACAATAATTTCTAAATAATATACCTTAACATTTATATTTTTACATTAACATATCAAATTACAGTAATTAAATATTTTTTTCTTGACTATTTCGTAACTTTAATGTCTATAATTTAAAAAACTTTGTGAAATTGATTATTTTTATTAAATTAAACATAGTACCGTGATTAATACAATATTCATTTATATTTAAATAGTCACTAATTTTAGTAATTATATTTTATATTCATATTAAATTGTTTCGAAAACATTGTATGATATACAAAATAAGGTAACAAGAAATCAGTGGTGACTAACAAAAATTTGTCCTAATATGCTTTTGAGATAAGGAATTTTAAAAATACATAGCATGAAATTAGATCATCACAGAGAAAATAAGATATTTAAATTTTACAAATTAGAAGTACCCAATTTTAAAGTAACGCAGAAAAATAATATAGTCATGAGTTACTAACTATCAGAAAAGCTAAAGTGAATTAAATTATTCTGTTATGCTTATTTTCATACACGGTAAAAATTATATAATACATATTAAAAGAGCTTAAACCAATGTGAAGTTTGGCAATCTATTTCAAAAGCGAATTTTCGCTTTAAAATATTGGCAGTACGAACAGCAATTCACGTAACTTTTGACCATTGCCAATATTAGTACAAAAAAAAGAGATGAACCTATTTGTAAGGTGAATTTCAAAAACAACAATTTTTTCAGAATTGTAAAAAATCAATAAAACCTTCTATATATGCAAGTTTTTTATATTGTTATGCAGTCACTCCTCGTTGTTATTTTGCAATGATGTCAATGATTTCGTCATTTCGTCGTAAATGTGCAACAGTGAATTACATGTGAATGTTACTTCAGGTATAAATTAATGTTTTTTTTTAATTTCGATACATATTTTTATTGTCAGTGGCCTACGGTATTATTAATTTTATTTTTGAGTTATACACAGAATAATACATACTCAATCGAAGAATTTCTTCGTCATAAACAAATCGTTTCGATACGTTATAATGTAGTTTATAATGACATGCGTTTAACCAGTCGGTAAGCAATTTTTTAACAACGTATTGCTGGTTAAAAAAGTGATCCTGTATTTAATATTCCCGTATCGTGCTTTGATGTGGCAAAATCAATTGTTTAACGCTACAGTAATTTTGTTTAAATGTACCTTCTCTATCAACCTCTAAATTTAATTTCACCATTTTGTGATAAAAATAACAATGTATTTACTGGTGAATAAAAATATGCAAAAAGGTAAATGACCTTTAAATTAAACATGTTTTAACATACTGCAAAACCATATAGTGTATGTGCATAGTATCAAGAAATATTCTTGCAATTTAATGCAAGTACCTGATATCATAACATATGTATATACATATATGTAAAAGTACTGTGTTACTGTATAGATATATATGTGTATTCTGAATATTTTATTGGTTTCTTTTAACGTACTATCAAACATATTGTTAATTCATGGTGTTTTAAAAAATATTAGACAACAAGTGTCTTAACATATGTTCCATTTACAGGTGTAAAATGATAACAAAGTATTGAAAAACTCTTAAACACAATGTCAGACAACGATTTGTTTCGCATTTATCAATCACGTGGGCTTGATCCGCCTGAGAGAGTAATAAGCATAGGGTATTTTCGTATAAATGAGCCTAATGGTCTTCCAAACATAGAAGTAACTCTAATAAGACATCTTTCTAATATAAGGTCGGAGAGACAAGCCAATGCATTGAGTAATGGTAAAAATTATTATTTATATATTTATTAATAGTTTTAATAGAATAGGAGTATATACAATTACATAAAAATTTGGGTTTAATAAAGTCACTAATGACTGTTTATTATTAATAGAAGTACCCAATGCTCAAGCTGAGGAGGTTGTACCTACTGAAGAGCCATTAAGAGAACTTACAGATGGCACACAGTCAGCAAGTGATGTAACTGATGGAGCATCTTCGCCAAATCATCCAGAAGTCAGTGCACCAGCAGCAAATTCAGATGACGAGTACGTATAGTACTTTATATCAATGTAAAATGTAACATTGAAGAAAAAAGATTTAAATATACCTATATTGCATAAGTAATTTTTATTCAATATAGCAGGAGATATTGTTGGGTATGCTTTGCAACGGATGAAGATGATGCAACTGCTTCATGGGTAAAACCATGTCATTGTCGTGGTACAACAAAATGGGTTCATCAGGGTTGTATACAAAGATGGGTTGATGAAAAACAGAAAGGACATGCGGGCGCTAATGTAGCATGTCCACAGTGTAACACAGAGTACATTATTGTATATCCAAATATGGGTTTGTTATTATTCAATTTTGTTTTATTCGTCATTAATTTAAGTGGTATTTATAATAAATGTATCATAACATTTCAGGACCGTTAGTAGTTGTGTTGGATAACATTGATGGTGTAATTTTCCGAATTTGTCCATACATAGCAGCCAGTATAGTTGTAGCATCTATATACTGGACGGCCGTAACGTATGGAGCAGTAACTGTAATGCAAGTAGTTGGATATAAAGATGGATTAGCTATGATGGAACAAGCTGATCCTTTAGTGTTATTAGTTGGTTTGCCAACAATTCCAATATTATTGGTATTGGGTAAAATGCTAAGATGGGAAGACCAAGCTCTTAGCCTTTTCAGACGACATGCATGTAAGGTTCCTATTCTGAGATATTTACTACCCAATAGGTATGTGCAGATATAACTATGAATATTTTAAATAGATATTGAATACTTTAAATTAATGTATACCTGTTACTTTAGTTATTCTAGTGATGATAGAGCTCAATTTGAAGACATACCACCTATGAGCGATCCAGTATCAGCGACGCGTATTCTTTGTGGTGCACTTTTACTACCCAGCATTGCCAGCATATGTGGCAAAATATTCTTTGAAAGCATACACTCCAATTTTCAAAGGACGTTACTCGTACGTGTTAAATACAGATTTACTATTAGTAAATTGCTTGATAGTTAATAATATTCTTGCATGAAATTTTACAGGGTGGTATAGCATTCATAACAATAAAAGGCGCATTCAAAATATATCATAAACAACAGCAGTATGTAAAACAATGTCAGCGTCGTATAATGGATTATACGGATGACAACATTGCATTATATAGAAGACAACAAAATTCCGACACCAATCAAACAAGTTAAACATAAAGTTCAAAAATAATATGCTATACTAAAAACATTTACTTCCTCAGATTTAGAGGATTTAAACTTCTTAGTGTACTTTTATCGTAAAAACAAATGTCCACTGTATAACTTTTATGTAACAATGTAAGTTTATGGGTACTATGATCAAATTTAACAAATACGTAAGTATATACATATATTTATATATTTATATACATGAATATATAAATACATATATATATATTTGCATATGAGAATGGGAAACTGTCATTACATACATAATTCTGAGAAGCAAATTATAATATGTGTCTGACATGAAACAATTAATTGTAAGAAATGTTATATCTCTTAAATGTGTTAGTAGAACAACAATGTCTGTTCATTCTTCCTGGAATAGTAAATAAGGAATACAAATTGACTTA